GAGAAGCCAGCTGCCCTGACCAAGACCAAGTCCGGCCGCGTCGCTAAGACGGCAGCCAAGCCCGCTGCCACAAAGAAGGCGGCGGCGCCGAAGAAGGCCGCACCCAAGAAGGAGAAGGCGCCAAAGAAAGAGGCAAAAGCTGAAGCCTCTGCATGAGTTTTCGCTGGCTGACTTGCGTTTTCGAGTTATATGTTGGGGTTCGGCGGTTTACTGGCGTTCGGGGAACAGGTATCAAGGAGGGCATGTTACGCACGCGCGTGTATCTCGCACGGGAACAGGTTCGTGCCTTATTTCGGGCAGGGTTGATATGCTAGGGTTTTGCTATGGATTTTGAGTCATGGGTGGTGAGGGCGAGGCTGGCGGTTAATGGTTCCACCCCCGAGAGAGTTGCGAATACGTGTCCACCGAGAACCCTCCGCGGCAGCCGACTATTATCTACATATCGTACGGCTCCTCCCCATGAGCGGATTTCGCGATTGTCTTCGGTTGGATTTGCATATATTCTCTACCAGTCTCACGGCATCTGTTAAGTGGAGGGTTTGGAACTGACGACGTCATGAGTACACTTGTAATTATACCAGCGACCAAAGAGACTTTTAGCGGGGTTTCTGAATCCAAATATTCGCACATTTTTAATATTGTTATCTTTCCGTCACGGTGATGTTGTGTCAGAGCTGGGGGTCCCGGGTTTCAACGCGTCTTGCTTGTTACGTACGAGCTTTTGTTTACATACCTCGAGGAATTGCGGAGCTGCGACGTTATCGGTGTGTCGATAACGGCTATCACGTGTCAACAATGGCGCCTACAGGGCGTAGCGTAGCAGCGAAGGTGGGGCCTATGCGCCTGTACCCACTTGCCGTGTTCGTGTTCGAGTCCTATAATGTTTGGGGGCCATCGCGCCATGCACTCACTATATCGAATGATCGGGCATGTGGGCAATGTATCTAACTCAGCATATCATAACATATAATCACCTCTTTCCGAAATGTGTAAAACGTTATGATTTGTAAAAATAGTCTAGGTATTAAACCTTTGAGGACTGATAGGTAGCTATGTTTGCTGTGTCTGCTTATTGGTCGAGGGGTATATTTTTCCTCGTTCAACGACCGATGTAAGAATAGGACACAAGTCACACTCGTTGATTAAGTTGAGTTGCACCACTTTCCTACACATCTTCAATTATAGAATCGTAAATACCCAGACTCGATGATCTCGATTTCAATTAAACATCTGAAAGGTTCCAATTCGCGTTTAAAGTGCTGGCGTGCAATATCAACATCGTATAGAGAAGCGGCGGATCGGGTGTTAGTGTTGGTATAGTTCCCCGCAACTAACTTAGACTTAACCTCCGCATAGACCTACGCGTGGGCTGTCATTACGCTGCTCATGTTATTTGAAACGATCATCCAAGCTACATGTCTCTTATTCATAACTCTGTTCTCGTCCCGAGTTTCGTAAAGTACACGTACCTATTTTACACAAGTGTCTATGGTAAGTATAAGACTTACCATTGCTTTAGGTTAGTCTATGATATCTTACATGTACCTAAGGTCAGTGAATAGGTACCATGATCTCATCTTATCGCTATCAGATCAATATCGGATAGTGTCACAACCCCGATAACACCGTCGACCTCTACCGAATCTTCCGAGATCCCACCTAAGCAATCCCCAAGGCATCAAGGCTGCAAGCGCCCAAGCAGCCAAGCCGGCACCCACGCTGACTCCGATATAGCTGACATACAGTACCACACCTCCCCCCAAGTCCCCAAGTGCATGCTGTGTCTATCCCGTACTGGAGGGGGATCTACATGATACGATACGATACGATACAATACAACGCCGAACAACGTCGACTTGCGTCCTGCGACCTGCGACCTGCCGACCTGTCAATGTCATGGCCGGCCTCATATAGCTCCCATCGCTACCTCCGCACAATTTATCTAAATTGTGCTTTGTTGGATGTTCTAAGGCCTTCCCTCCATCATGTCTACCAAAGACCAGTCCTTCGGCTCTAATAATCCCTTTCGCCGGAAACTGTCCAGTCCTTCCAACGAGGGGTCCTCCCCGGTGCCCACTCCGAGCTTCGATGGATCTCTCGATTCCACCCCGCGACCGCCCTTTACCACATTTAAGACAACCCAGTCGACCGATCGGGGGTGGGAGGAACCAGAAGAAAAGAAGGCGGCGGTGCAGCTGAAGCCGAAGAAGGTGGTAAAAAAGGTTCGGGTTCAATCACCACCACCGTCCTCGCCAGAGGAAGAGGAGGATGCTGTTCCCGTTACCCGTTTCCCGCCGGTAGACGAGATTCATTTCAACAACGATGACGATGACGATGACCGTAGTACCGATTCAGAAGAATATGCACGGCATGGAGGCCCGCTCGATGCGGCCTCATTAGGCACCCATGGCAGAGATGGCTACGGGAATATACAAACAGGACCACCAGCGAACCCGTTCTCAACAACATTACAAGATTTAGAACAGACTGGGCAAGGACAGGATGTCAGTGCATTTGCAGCCAATGCGGCAGCGAGGGGGACTCTGGACGTTGACTCGTTCAAGAGACTGCTGCTTACCGGCTACGCAAACATCTCCAGTCCATCATCCACGTCAGCGGCAACGTCGGGTGCGGGTAGAAATTCTGGGGCTTTACCACTCCCGCAACTTTTACACGATGGTGCGAGCAATACGGATGCGAGCTCCGTGTCCCGCCAGTCCATCTTAGATGCCATGTTGCAAGACACACCTCGGACTTCACACGAGGCTTCCGAGCCCGAAGATCCCGAGGAGCGAAGAAACATGCTTCCCTCCTCTCCCCTTTCCCACGCCCAGTCAGCCTCGACGAGGAAGAAGCCGCCGCCGCCTAGCTCACGGCACGGCAAACTCATCAAGATCGAGCTTGGGGCAGACATTGAATCCCGTGCTGCTAAAACCTCGACACCTCCCATATCCATCAGCACTACCTCTCTCCCCTCCATCGCTCCACCCCGCAGATCCAGTGCCCAGTCCATCACATCCTCACAGACCCAACCTCAGACAACTGACGTGAATAAGCCGCTTCCGCTAACCCCTTTTCGCCCTTCCGTGGAAGAAGCGGTCGACTCTCCCTTCGATCGTGAGGCTATAGGCAAAGTGCCCGAGCCCTTCGCTGACATACAGGCTAACCCTCGACCCCCAACGCCGCCCGCTATCACTCGGAGCCGCTCAGAATCTAATGGTAGCACGCAACTACGCAAACCTGCTGCGCCTCCGCCGCGTCGGCATGGGCGAAGCGATAGTAAAGCTCCGTCCATACTGAATGCGGACGATGATACTCCTCCGAGATCGTCATTGGAATCGAATAGGTCGCGGGCAGATAGCCTACGTGCGAACATCGGCACAAGCGTACCAGCTCCGCCGCCTCCTCGCAGGCCGAACCATGCCAGACAGGGGAGTTCCTATGCTAGTCCAAATCAAGGGACGTTTACTCCAGCGCTTCCGATAAGTCCCGGCTCCAGCGGACCCGAACTTGGGTCGCCGGCGTTGGCATTGCATCGTCCGGGTAGTAGTGGGCAAGCAGGGAGCATAGCAGGTCTAGCAACCATCACTACGAGCAAAGACGGGCTACCTAAACTGTCTCCCCCGCCACCGCCCCCAGCCAGGCAAGCGAGTACCAGACGCCCGACGAGTGCCAGGGGCATGGACACCGGGAACGGGCCTGGCACGGTGAGGAGGGTGAGCAGGGAGAAAGACGGAGGAGGGGCGGCACCGCCTCCGCCTCCGCCACCGAGGCAGCGTGGTAGCAGCCGCGCGAGTGTCGATAACCCAGCCCCTGTTGCGGAGAACGCGAGAAGCTCGAGCGGCGAGATCCGGCAGGAGCCGCCGACTTCTGCCCATGGAGAGGTGATCCTAGCAGATCTCGACACGTTGCAGAAGGAAGTCAATGCCCTAATGGGTAAATACGGGAGTACTGGCGGGAGCTGAGAAATCGTCGTAAGGGGTATTATATACATAGGTAGAAATTTTGGAGATCCAGCAGTCTCTAGTACCTCGGAACTTTGGGGAATCCGAAATCAAAGAGATGAGGTGGGGCTTTTTGGGTGTTCCAGGGCGACTTGTCACACCGAGAAACCTGTGGGTCAGTATGTGTGTGATGACCTCGTCGCGGTTTGACTTGCCAGCTGGATACTAAGACACGAATGGGAGTATGCGTTACGCGGGCAGGGCATGAAACGTGGGACATAAGGGGGAGGGATCCTCTTGTACAGTAGGGCTAATTGATGATACCAGACTGGACTGGAATGGAATGGACTGGACTGGACTGGACTGGGCTGGGCTGGTTAAATGAAAGGACGTGTGACTGGACTCAACTCCTCGGCTTTGGAAGATTCGGAGGGGAGAGGGGGAGTTAGGGTTAGGTAGTGTAGATGTCCTGGGCTGAAGGCTATAGGCTATCATGGGAAAGTGTCATACGGATTATATATCAATATAAGACCTTGTAACAGAAAGAATGAAGCACGGCCATTGATGCCGTAATTTACTTGTAGATGATTGCTAGATGTGTGAGCGGCTACGGTTGGTGATGTGATATTTTATCTATGCAGTTTATAAGGTGTGTATAGAGACTCTTTGGATAGGGCGATGGTTTCAGAGGTATGTAAATGTTTAACTGTGAATGAATGTCTCTATATGTCTCTGTAAGTAACCTTGCCAACATACATCACTTATAATGCTTTTAACATTGCCACCCAATTTTTCTTTTTCTCTACAAGATTTCGCCCACAGAGTGAAAAGGGGAACGAACGGGTTTATACTAACGGCTTCTTTGAACTATGTACTATGCTCTACGGCAGACGATCGCATTCCGACCTAAGAAGTACGGTCTCTGTGCATAAGAATCATAGTGTTCATAGCGCTGCACATGATCCTTTCCAGCTATACGCTAGCAAATTGAATTCCGTTTTATTCACTAAACGCCGATTCTCTAAACAAGCACCGAAACAGGCTGGCTAAGAGAAGTCCGAATTGGTGTAGTGGCTAACATTTGGCGCTCTCATGATTGCAAACGCAACACGGCGACCCGCCAAGCCCGGGGTTCGATTCCCCGATTCGGAGTCCATATAGATTTTTTCTTTCCTTTTTTTTTTTTTGGTTCTTTGTGCAGTCATGGTGATAGAGCTCTTATTAGGGAAAGTTGATGGTGATCTTGGGCCAAACTAGGAGGGAAAAGGTACATCGGATACTGGCCATAGTTATAATGGCAATGTAGAACAGATATGCATCACGCTTCTTACATTAATGGGAGTGTGTGTATTCCACACTATAGCTAGTTATGTCATGTTCCGCCTCTTATATAGGTACCTATGATTTCCAGCATCCTGTCTTTACTCCGCGGCTGATGGGGTGCTTCCGTCTACCCTTCCTGACAATGATCCCAATCTCACCATTTGTTAGGCTTGAATTGTTAGTTAAAAAAAAAAAGGAAGGTCTCCCTAGGAATTGAACCCAGATTGGCGGAATCAGAATCCGCAGTGCTAGCCATTACACCAGGACACCATCGCAAAGATGTGGACTTTCTAGCTTTCCAAGTTGTTTTTGTTAACTCTTAGAGGGGTTTATTAGGATCAGTAGCTAGCTCTTCTGAGGGGCGCAGTGAATGCCAATCCTTTGGCGAATATCAACTACCTAGCGAAAGAATGTAAATTACCAAGACGTGGATGGCCCTGTGAGCCCGGTCCAAGTTGCTGCGAGTTCGGAGGACATTGCCCCTGACTGGGCTGGAACCGGGGTCTTCCTTTGAAATAGTTCAACTAATTTTCTTGTGAAACACAAAGTGTATAGTGAAGATGGACGGCTTACTTGACCTCCAAGTGCCAAAGAACATTCGAAAATAGTAATACACTACCTGGACTTGTTCAGTTGAAACCAACGATGCCATCGAAACGGTGGGTTGACTCGATAATTATAGACATCTTAAGTCTCTGTGGAGATTATCACAGCAGAGGATGGTGTTGGTTGAGTGCCAGCTCTTGACGCCTACGGGCTTCATTTCTTAGCACTCATCAAAATTGACTGCGAATTATATCAATCCAAGGTTTGTGATAGGAATCAGCTGGCCAATGGGCTATAGTACCGAGCTGTTCCCAACCCTTTTACTCCTTTCTAAAGTCCGACGCTGCTTGTGTTATTAGGCCTGAATATAAATCTTAATCCGAAAAAATTATATAAGAATCGCCGCTGAATCATCATGCCGCACCATGATGCTGCCCTTTCGTATAACGTTTGCTCCTGACCACCTATTTCAACAAGTTTATTTAAAATAGAATCTAGCAACAATATTGAGCACACACCTTCGAGGGTATCACGAAGTTTCAAGGGTACCTGATTCAATCTCTGGTACCTTCATCCTGAGGAGAAAGTAGCCGCCCATCCTAGCAACATTCCAGTCTGTAGATGTGAATCAAAAGTATTTCATAAGTAGAACGCTTCCTCTTCAGTGGAGATCATCTGTTGCTTCTGGCCAAGAACAGGCCAAGAGTTGCTGACGCGTATTCGAGCTTGGTTATTTGACGGGGCATTTACGATGAGTGACCACTGCATCTTTCTATTAAACTTGGTAAGGACTCGGATTTGGAATAAGCAAGCTCTCTTACGTACCTCTTTAGAGCTTCCTGCCTAATTTCGATTTTACTTTCCACTAATACTTTCATCGATATCGATTTGCTGTGGAATTGAAAAGATCCAAGACTGTCTGTATTATGGAATCCGCTTGAGATGTCGCACAAAGCAGTCGAAATGGCGAATGAATGACAACTCTGGGGTAACATTGGATTCAGTAATCTAGACTTCTCATTTTGGTGGGGGGACCTATACACGATAATCACATTCGGGGGCTGTCTTTGATATTCTAGACAACTAGGCCACCAAGGTACTCATTCGGTGATGCTATATGAAGGGGTACTACGCCACAACCGTCAACCGTCATCTGTCGATCCTTTCTCTTCCCTCTTCCTTTTATCTTACACAATATCTGGAATCTTACTGTCAAAATTGTTGCTTCTCCTCAAACTTCATTAAATACCTAGAATGAAATTTGGCGATTTGATTTCTCAGCACCCATACCTTGTTTTCAATATCTCATAGCAATGCTGTAGACGCGGTATTTACTGGTCGATCATTCGAGTTCAATCACATGCGCGGCCTTGGTGAATCTCACGAGGGCGTGGTGATCGAATGCCTGGTGATGGGTTGGCCGATTGTAGTAGGTGCCACTATAAGCGATAGGATGCTCCACCGCCCTGGTAGGGCGTCTCCTTTCCCTACCTGGGTAGTTATTCGCTTGTCCTCGCATCACCTTGATAACAACTAAGATAGGAAGCCCACTCGAGATGAAGATTCTGAAGATAGGAGGGCCGGTCGACTGATCTACGACAGACCTTCCTAATGAAAGGACCACCTCGCCCAAAGCTCGCTACAGATGAGCGGGATCATCCGATCAGGACGCGGGGAGCGAAGCGCTGAACATAGATCAGCGTGACGAGGCTTTGGATTGTACCTGCCGATCGAAGGTTCTGGAGAGCCGGTCTGATTTAGTAGCGCGTGTCGACACGAACGCTCATGGTTATGGGTAGATGGAGGGGGAAATGCAGTCGCTTATCACGCGCCACGCTGCAAGTCATGCATCCAACGGGACTACGGGGACACGCCGAGGGAACTTAAGGTGACCCGGCGCTGGTCACAACAGCTTGAATAGCGCGCAAAATAGCATGACGGATGACGGAGAAGCTAGTCGAAACCAGCAGGTGGTATCGCCAGCCGACGTTGTATTAGACTTGAGGCTCGCGTCTAGGAAGGACTTGCGCCTGAGGGGAACCTGGGAACCTGGGAACGCAGCGCCACGACGCCTCCCCAACGGTTATTATGCAGTTATAAAAATCCCCGATCGAGTCAGCTGTCGCCGCCAAGGCTGTTGCTTCTGCCAAGCAAAGCAGTTCCGATGCCGATGGCGACGGGCCCAACAAGAAAAACGAGAAGGTTAGCGCACAGGTGGTAACTTTACACGGCTTTACACGGCTTTACACGGCACCCAGACAGATAGGTCATAGGCTCTGCTATAACCTACTACAACGACGACGATCATGACGTGATCGGGAAGGTCTGGCGAATATGCGCCGAAAACACCGACTTCGACCTCTATCCACATGGACGAGGAGTTGTCGTTTCAATCGCACAACCTTGGAAAACCGGGAGTAGCTAGCTTGCGCTTTTCTTAGATGATTTGCAATTCAGCTTAGCTTGTTCGACGATCCGACTGTGCTGATAAGCATATTAAACGCCAAGCATATCGGCACTCCTTTCAGATTTACTACTTTGCAGGACTTGATCACACCCAAGATCGCGACTTCAATGCTTCGCCTTTCCGCTTATTGGCTGGGTAAATGCTTTCTGGATATCTGCCAACCGGAGAAGACAGCCCGCCCTCGCCGTGCTCAAGGTCTGGTCTGGTTCTGTGCCACGACACGCGTCGATGGGGAGATAGTTGTGACCAGTTTTATAAAGGTCACAATCAGTCACTATCAACGTCTTGTGGGGGTTACAATCGTAAATATGACAATAGCTTCCGTACTTCCGCCTCGTCCTCCGACAAGACGACGAGACAGCAACGGCGAGACTGATAGCGACGCGACTGGTCAGGTCAGGTCAGGTCAGGTCAGGTCAGGCAGAAAATGTTATCTATCTTCGTCTCGTCGGGGCATATGAGTGGTTCTCCTTCCGAAGATGGCAAGCGGCTGGTGATCGCTCAGGAATTATTTCCTTCCCGGCGCGGTTCCTTGCAGCCTCTTGTACGTGGCTAACGAGCACGGGTGCCACATTGCCATAGTCTTTGCCTGAATTCGGTCCCTAGCTATTGGCTATGTTGCCTGTGGTGCCGGCAACGGTAGCGTCGGGTGCCGGGCTGTGGTAGCTACGATGGGCCATATCGCCGTCGAGAGTATGATTACATCGGCTTGGCGCCAGGTTCTAATAGCTTCGGGGACACGACATGGTTGCGACTTGACTTTGCAGCTTCCTGAATGCGTATAAAAATTAATCGTTTTGAAGATTTACATGAGCTAGAAACACGCCGCTTAGCTGTTCGCTATCGTACATCTCACGGCGACGGAAATGCAGAGCTATGAAGTTCGGCCGGCTATAAAGGGGCGTTGTTGGCTCGTCTGAAGTCGAGAAGAAATTTCGCCAGCAAGCAGCTCAAACACAACAAGACCCTCAAGCTACTATCAAGTCAGCCTCGGACTCGCAACCTTCTTTCACGATGAAGTTCACCGCCGGCATCTCTCTCTTCGCCGCTGTGGCCAGCGCCATCTCGGTCGATCTGACCAAGCGCGACACCCCTCTCGATGTCAAGCTCGAGATGGTTGGAAACACCGCCGTCAAGGCCAGCATCACTAACACGTGCGTGGAAAGCCCCCCTTCCCGATAATCCCATTGAACAAGAGTTGAAGAGTCCTTGGGATTCAGACTTGAGATACTATCTGAGTACAAATAGTAAAACAGAAGCTGACAACGAGTTTCTTAGCGGTGCCACTGACTTGAAGGTATTTAAGACCGGTACTTTCTTGGACGAGAACTCTGCTACCCAGAAGGTTGCCGTCTACCAAGGTGGTGAGTTGCGCCTAAACGCTTTTCATACCGCAGGACGATGTCTAATCAAGATATATCAGGCAACAAGCTTGACTTCGACGGCATCCGCCTCCGTGTCATGACCACCGGACTCGACGAGGAGGCCTTCCAGATCATCCCCGCCGGCGAGACCGTCGAGGCCACCTTCGATGTCGGCCAGGTCTACGATCTCAGCGCCGGTGGCAAGTACGACGTCGTCTCTCTGGGTGCCATGTCATACGCCGAGGCGAACACGACCGAGATCGCGGGCGCCTACTCCGTCGCCGGCAGCACCACCGCGGCCGAGGTCGACGGCGCTGTGGCCAAGGAGGTCCGTCGCCGCTTCCACGCCAAGCGCATCGACGTGCAGTCCGACTGCACGGGCACCAAGCTCACGTCCACCAACACGGCCATCAGCAACTGCCGCTCGCTGGCCTCCGCCGCCGCGACGGCAG